GCTCCAACTCAGCACCCTCATGAAACTTGCTTTTAGTAAAAATTGAACCAGCTGGTAACTGAATGAGATTCTCAGACAGGATAATATAAACACCACTTAATAACCTTATGCTTTATGGGCTTGTTAATGTAAATGGAAATTTTAAAGCTTTCATGGTGCTGCAAAATGCAAAGCTATGGAGCACACTGCACATAAACAGAGGCATATTCCTTTCATTTGTACTGCTTGTCATGCTGACAGCTTTGCTCTGTCCTAACAGGGCCCTTGGGATCTGCACCACTGCTTGCAATGGGGCATTGCCCCTGTGAACCAGGGCTGCAGCACCTCCCAGGTGTGTCGGGGACAAACTGCTGGGGTTGGGGGGGCTGAGGGAGGCAACAGTGGAAGAGGGCAGGGCTCTTCATGGCTTTTTGGCTGGCTTCACAGTGGTCTGCATTAGTCAGCTCGTGGCAGGATGCCACTGGCATCCTTGAGATGACAGACTGGTAGAGAGATGTATTTGTCCCTCCCACCCTCACTGTAAATGGAATGGAATGGAATGGAATGGAATGGAATGGAATGGAATGGAATGGAATGGAATGGAATGGAATGGAATGGAATGGAATGGAATGGAAGAGAGAATAGAATAGAATAGAATAGAATAGAATAGAATAGAATAGAATAGAATAGAATAGAATAGAATAGAATAGAATAGAATAGAATAGAATAGAATAGAATAGAATAGAATAGAATAGAATAGAATAGAATAGAATAGAATAGCTGCAGCTGCCAGCTCTGCAATACCAGAGCTGGGTAACTTGCAAGGGCAGGTTCATCTACAAGCACAGGGGCCCTGGGTGCTTCCACTCAGAGAACAAGAAACCCATGCAACCAGCTCCTGGTAAAGCACTACAGGGGCAGTCTGGTGATGTTTTCCAGTGGGCAGGATCTACTGGTGCTCCCAGCACAGAGGCAAGAGGTGGGCCATGCTGTTGTTGAAACAGAGGCAAAGCCCAGGGCTGAAGTAATCTGGGTTTATCACTTGGCTCCTGATAGTAGGTGGGCTGAGCACTGTAATCTTCCCCTCATTCTCCAGATAGAGCACAGCCTGCTCACAACTGCTCAGCACTTTGATAAAAATACACTTGGAGGTATTTTGCAATGATTAACAAGAAAAGGTGAACAAGAAGTGATGGTAGGTAAATAAGCCATGGTGGTGTGTCTGATGTGCAGGAAAATATATTAAGTTGGGGGGGTGGGGGGTGGCTTGGTTTTTTTTCTCCAGAATTAATCCTCCCCAAAGATGTCATATCTGATTTATTCCTATTTCCCTTGTTTCAGCCATGCAGCTGATATGGTATCAACCAGTGTGCTGCACCTCAAAACCACTTTCTTGTCTCCCTCCCCTCTTCCATGGTTACTCATTTTCCCATGCAAAAACACCATAACACAAACTCCTGTGCTTGTACCTCTGGCTTATTTCATTTACATGTTACACAGTTTATTATCAGTTTCACTGGTGAAGCCCCAGTGTGCTTTCATGCCTCTGGGTGTGGGGATGCACACATCACCTCTGCATGAGTGATCCCTTGGGATAAGCTGTGTGCTTTTTGCATTTAAAAAGCTACATCAAGAGAGCAGCCTCGCATAGCAAAATGCTGCAGTAAAGCGCAAACATGAAAAGATGTGAAAATTCGGTTTATTTGTAACTATTTGTTCTCTTGTGATCTCAGTGCAGATGGAAGAGATTGGTTAGGATTCAGTGCTGACATCTTATAGCCCTGGAACATAAAAATCTGCTGTGTTTCTCCAGAATCACACCACATCAAAACAAAATCATGGGGACAAGCAAGCTGCTTTGTGAGCAGCACAGTAAATGCAGCTTGGCTCAGCTTTGTGCTATATAAGCTCCAAGGATTCACTGCTCTCTATCTTCCCTGCATTTTCAACATTTCAGCCTCCCACAGACCATTCATGTAGCTTTCTCTCCCCCTCAGAAAAACCAACAAACCTTCAAAATACCCAACCCCCCACCCCCCCAAAAAAAAAAAAAAAACCCACAAAAAACCAAAAAACAAAAACACACCTTTAAAATACAATTTTTTTTCTAACTAGCCCCAGTAGAACAGGCCAGAGGCGACACAAAGCACATGTGCCTGCTCACAGCTGGCTGGTGCCCGTGGGCTGGCTGACCATCACATGGGGCAGTGTTAGTTTTGCCCTCTGTAAGGACTCAACATTGGCACATTTTTCTGCTCTGGTGCCACCAGTGCTCATGGACAATGCAGGAATTTCATATCTTTGACACCTCTATCTCTAGTCTTAACAGAAGTGAGCTGAGGGGTCTCCAAAATTTTCAAGCGTGTCTTCACTCCTCCAACTTGTTCTATCAGCAAAGGCAACTTGAAGAACTTTTCCACTGCTCTGTTAGTGGACGTAATCACAATAAGATTCTTGTGTAAGAATCATGTGGGAAATACATGAGTGAGAATTAACAGTGGATTTTTACTTACAAGCACACCTTCAGATTGATAAAGAATGGCGCTCATCTTGCATTTTCAGAGCTTCCAGATGTGTACCAGGACAGGCTCATGGGAGATCTGGCTGCAGCTGCAGTCCTGCCATTCTGCTGCTCCCCATTTGCCTAGAACAAATTTATTTCTACTCTGTAGCCATCTCTCATTATTCGAGGGTTACTAGTGAGAAGCACATGCTGAAGTTGTATTTGCTTAGACTATTTTGGAGAGGCTTACTTAAACTTTACTCAGCTATTGCACTTAGCTTACTTCAGCAGGGCTCTCCTGTTGGTACCTCCTCACAGTCTCTCTTCAAAATGTTTTGGATCTTGTTTTGCCTCCTGCCTAAGTATGCTGGAGACAAATGGTTTCAAAGATACTGTATGTATATGTGTGTGTGGACATTTCCTGCTCATTTATTCCAGTGAGATAAATTGGCCCTGATTGCTTTACTGTCTGAACTTGACTCTTCTATAGTGCCTTCTGGTTTTCTTTGGCCACATTATTGACAATGGGTAATATAACATGAAAGGATCGTGGATGGGCTTTTACAAAGAAATCAGCTAAATAGCTATTAGAGGATTAAAAGCAATGCCATGGCCAGGATAACACATCTTTAAAATGCTGATAATATCAAGAAGCAAATGGATTTGTAATTTAATGGCAGCAGAGGGAAGACTTCAGATATCTGTTTTCTCCAGATTTGATAGGAAGATTAAAGTGCTGCTTTTGGTGTGCAAGGGTTGGATAAAGCTGTAGCATGGTTGCCTACAGATAGCAGCATTCACCTTTCTTGTAAGTAGTAATTGTTCCAGGTGGAGAGAATTCTTCTGGTCAACATTTTTATTAAAGCTTTAATTTTCATGGTGACAAGTTGGATCATTGTCTGTTTTAAAGTCTGATAATGACACACTTTAGAAGCTTTGAAAAAACTCTTTGTCTAGACAGAAACAGCTTAATAAAGCTTTTGAAATGTGGCATTCACTTTAAACCTTTGCTGATGCCTGGACAAAACCACCAATATTTAGGAAATCTTGTTTTCTTCTTGCTTGTGCTAAAATTGTGCAAGAGGTTTGAGTAACAACAGGAACTGTGAGAAATAAAAACATACTACTTTCCAGAGAGGGGCTCAATCTGTGACAGACTTTTCCCACAGAAAGAATTTCCTTTTCATCCAGAAATCAATTTTCTTTTATAAAAGTAAATTAAAATATATTCTGATTTTTTGCATCTTCAGCATTGAGGTTGGAGGTATTCTAAGGATATGTCCAGAGTTGTTAAATATGTATAGTCTAAAACCAAAAAGTAGCTAGAGAGCCTAAAGCAGTGATGGCCAAGCACAGGCCCAGGGTGGGATAATTTCCACTCCATTAGATTGGAACACTGAGGAACATTCCACCTGAGAGATGAAAAGGAGCAGAGACACAGCCTAGTCACCTTCTCCAGCCAGCTGCTCATGAGAAGGCAGCACAGAGCACCATCTCTGAGGTTTGGGAATCAGAGGATTGAGGCTCCTGGATATTTATCTGTCAGGGTCAGACCACTGTGATAGCAATCTGAGCTAAAAATTAATCTGTGGCCTTATCTAATATGTCCTGCCCAGGAAGTAATGGTCACTCTGGCAATTTTTATTTTTAATGGTTTGGTTTGATTTGGCTATTTATTGTCATTATATCATGAAGATGCCTTTCATCTTCAGAGTGCTTTCCAAAGAAGTATGTTTCACATAATTTGCCTCTGGTACTCTGAGACAGTGTATGTTTTTTATAGATAACAAAGATCTAATCTCTGCTTTGAGGGAGAAATGCAGTTCAGGCTTAGTCACAGAATTACCAGCAGCAATAATACATTTCCAGAAATCTCAAAACTGAGTCAAAGGGAGAGACAGGTTGAATTGCTTGCCAGAGGAACAGAAAGGAAAGAAGAAAAGCCAAGGAACAATGGAACCCAATCAGACATTTTGACCTCTACCTTGCTGTCCTCTTATTTCTTGGGTAAGAAATACAAACACTGCACAGCCAGAAATTAGTGCATTGGCTCTGGAACTGAACCGCACAGGTAACTAAATCTCAATTTTTGAGTCTGGCAAACAGCCTCTGGAAAAGTAACAGCCCTCAGAGAAACAAAATAATCATTAGAAAATTGAGCTAGGCTCCCATGTAAAGAGTAAAGAACAACACCTGTGAGTGTCATGGACACAGGAGCTTAAAGTGTGCAAATGTCGAGAATAGTCTTCTAGAAAGCAGCAGAGTATTTTTATACCAAATGACTTTTATTAGATGCCAAAAACACAAGCCTCCTTCTTAGCTAAATTTTAAAATCTAGATTAAAAATTTTGTTTTATAGCTGGTAGTTCATATTTAATGCCTTTCCATTTTCTCTATTTTTTTCTGAAAAGTTATTACTCCTGCAACCAGAGCCGTCCTGTTTGTTATCAATTAAAAGTGAAAAAGACATAGACAGGATTAATCACATTTTTTTATTTAAAGGAAATTTATGGACACATTTTGAAATATTTGATCAGGATTTTTCTTATTTATACATGAGTATTTTTTCAGGTGTTCAGTCAGCATTACACAAAGGCAAGACAAAAAGATAAAAAGCCATTTCATCAACACAAGGCCAAAAAAGCAAAAGTTTGAAAGGTGTGTTGAAAGTGGATGGGTAAGAAGTTTACCCCATATTCAGAATGGGATTTAAGCCTTGGAGAAAGGCAGATTTCAAAACAAATTGGAGAGAAATTCTAATTTTAAGAAGACACAATCCAAATTAAAGATATTACATAGATTTTGATGTATTAATTCTAAAAGCAGTGTCCTTTGAAAAAGTAATACAATATTCTAAACAAAAGAAATACCTACATTTTCATGCAAATGTAAACTGATATATTCAACATTTCCCTTTTTGTACACACCAGGGTCTAACCATTACAGGTTCTATTTCTAAGCATATTAATTTCTGACCTGCCAAAGACACAATCAAGACTATTTTATCTATGAACTCAGATTTCAGAAAGGTAGGGAAAAGGCTTTCATTTTTTCAGTATTTTGAGTGAAGCTTTGTTTTTGAAGGTGCAGTTTTACAGAACTCTGTTTCTCTCCTCCTAGCATTGACTGGAATGAGTGTCCAGCTTTATTTTCCTGAAAATTATCCTTAGAATAATCACCAAATAGCCAGTGCCCATTGTACAAGCTGCTTCTTTTACTTTAGAAGATGCTTTAAAAGAAATTAATTTCAAAATATAGCCTTGTTTTTATTTGAAAAATTATTGTTTAATAAATAAAGTATTTCTGTGAGTTTTCTGAAATATTTAGGGAAAGATATTTTATCTAAATCTTACCTTCCCCAGTCCAAGTGTTTGCAGTGCAGTGCATCTCAGGTTAGCAGTCAGGAAAAATACACAGTAAAACTCACTGAACAAAGCAGGAGGTAGGGGAGGGGGATTTCCTGAAATGGCTTTATCTGGTTTTACTGTCTCAAGTGAAAGGCGAAAGAAAATAGAATAGAATAAAAGCTGATTGAAAAGTAGAATGAAAATATTGCTGCAGTTTAACAGTCCAAAGGAAGTTTAGTAAACAACTGAAGTAATGTGGGAGATATTTGTTTGTTTTACAAATCACGTTTAAGTTTTATACAGCAAACATTCAAAGTCCTTTGACAGATTGAAAATAACTTTTTTTTTGCCTTCCCTATCTGTTTTTCCTTTCCCCGATATTAATTTTCACCTGTAGAAAATTCCCCAAGGTTTGAAATTGTTTTTCAGCCAAACTTGAAGCTTTCTGTGTCCAGAGAGGAGACCTAGCTGCCCGTCTCCTCAAATTCACTGTAGGGGGATGATGCTGAAGAAGTTTTGGACTCTCCATCGCTGTTGCACTCTCGCGGAGAAGCCGGATTGGGAGTTCCAGGGCTCTCCTTGGCAGAGAGCGTTTCCTTACTGGAAGAGCCTAAGGGATGGCAGTCCAGCAAGCTCTGCAGGTGTTTGATGTAGCTTATTGCAGCTCTCAGGGTCTCCACTTTGCTGAGGCGTTTGTCGGTGAATTCCTTGGGCAGGTGCTCCCTGAGGCGCGTGTAGCCCTCGTTGACGCAGCGCACCCGCTGCCTCTCCCTCTCGTTCCTCTTCCGAATGAAGGCAGGCTCGAAGGAATAGTCATAGATGCCCACGTAGCCAGGAAATGGGATGTAGGAGACGGGACCTGTGTGCCCACTATAGGCTTGCTCCCAGTAAGATGGGTCCAGGTGGAAGGGAACCCCAAAAGGCTCTCTCAGGGGTATCCCATGGGGGTGCACGTGGCTGTTAGCCAGGGACACAGCTCCTGGAAATGCAATCCTCTTCAGTAGTTTATCATCATCTTTAGTGCTGTCCATGCTTCTTTTTTTCCTCACCAGTGGAGTGTTCGTTCCTGAATTTGGCTTCTAATGTATTAATCCAACATTTGTGTAGGTACCCTGCCCCACAGGCTGTAGTTTCCTCCTGTGGTGTATAAAAACTCAGATCTCAAAGCAAGGCTAACAACTCATGAGGTCCACACTGTGCCTGGAAAGCCTGGTTGTTTTTATAGGTGTAGGATGCCAGTTAATGTACAGACAGGTTTTGAGGACCATCACTCCACAATTTAAACCCTTGTTTGTCTGTGATCTTCATATTTCAAAAGATAATAAGAGGTTTCCTCTGTATTCCTTTTCTTTCCACTTGAAATTATGACCATAAGAGTTAATGCCAAACATAAATAATCTTCCAGGCTCTAAATACTTCTCATGTATTGTAATCCATGATATCGTTTGATATAATTGTCTCCAAAAGATGGGTAATTTGCAAAGTTTACAGGGATCTTCAAAGTTTTGGCAGAACTCCTCACTTTCAGGAACCAAGGATCTTCTGTCATCTAAAAACTACCCAAAGGCTTTTCACAATGAAATCCAAAGACAACTGCAAGCTTTGTTGTTTCGGCTGCTCTGGTCTAACTGAACCAGCTCACAAGCAGTTTGCAAAACTTATATGGCATATCTGTAGCTTTCTGGGGAAGCTGAGACATCTTCAAAGGAAAGAGTGCTCTCTTGTGGTTGCAAGTCTTGTCAGATCAAGAATGTACTACGTGCAAGCATAAAAGGAAAAGTGCTTTCTTTGCTCTAAGAGAGGCTTTTCCAAGAAGTGTGAGTTTCACAAATTGAACATGAGCATTTTGGCATTTTAAACAGTTTTCAAGTTTTGTGCTTTTCTGCTCATTGTAGGAATGTTCTGGTCATCCCTATGAGAACTTGCCTCAGATAAGCAAATACAAAGGTGATGCCCTGATAGCCCCATGATGATTACCAGATGTTTACACAGATATTGGCTTACCTGATGGACCCTACACACCACTTTAATGGGAGAGCTGGAAGTCCCTCTTGACCCTGCTGGGTCTGTGCTGTGTCCTCCAGTTTGCCTGCAGCTTGCTAAAGTAAAGAGCTGGACAAAATACAAGGACTTTTGGCAGCATAAAGTCCTAATGTCCTTGTCTGTGCCTTTCCTCTGAGACACCCCACTGTGTAAGGATCTTCCTCTGCAGCAACTTAACAGTCTTTGACTTTTCCCATGTTGTTGTTCAAGAGCTCTATAGTTGCAGGTTTTTTGTTGAAAACAATATTGTCACAGTTAACTGAATCTCCTTTTTTTGCCATCATCAGTTTGGGGAATTGCATGTTTGGTCTGGGAGAGCTGTGGGAAGGGACAGACATGAAAAGGTACAGGTATGTAAGCTCTATTAATTTTTTTTTTTTTTCCCTCAAAGTGAAAGTTTCATCCTCTTCAGTATTTCATGTGAAACTGCCTCAGAAGTGTCAGTAACTGGAACAATATTCTCCACTCTGAGAAAGACATCTATGCCTCTGCTGAGTTAGAAGCTAGCAGCAATTATGTGAGTAGCATGCATTTTCAAGTCAGCCTTTGTGTCTCTGCTGGCTTATTCTGCAGCTTCAAAAAAACAGTGATAATCTTTAAGGTACGATGGTACAGGCAAACCATTCCAGACAGACATGAGTGAAAACAGTCCTGGACTCTGGTTTATGTCAGGGGTAGAATCAGCAGCAAAATGCCTCAAAAGCCTGAGCAAAAATTACTGGGGAATGCCCCATGGTATGTAGAGCTCATTTCAGATCACATAAGTGAAAGTCTTTCTGCCTTTTAAAAACTTCTTGGAAACAAGTGATCAGGATGGACTTTTCAATATTACTTGCACTCTAAACTCTGTTGTCCAGAAATGTTTTCAGAAATGAATGCTTAAAGGAAAATAGCTCCTTCACTGTAGCAGTAGGCTAGGCCAGGACTCCTAGTTTTGTTAAAACAAAGAGAATGTTGACCTTTAAGCAAATACTTGAAGCAAGTAAAGGCCATTTGATCTATGTTAGCATTAGATTTAAACCACTGCTCTCTGACAGTATTCCTGTAAGGAAATGGAAGCATGCCTCTTGCGGGGCTCAGCTCCCAGATAATTTCACAGCTCTCCATGACCTTGCCAGCAGCCTGGCCACGTTCAAAAGGCAGGGTTACATTTCAGTTCTGTCGTGCAAATGCACTGTGTCCTGCTACCAGATCTCTTTTCTATGTTTACTGTAAATGCAGGCCACCAGCACTTCCCAGAGTGTCAGAATTTAACTGTGCTAAAGACATCTCTTCTGACAGAAAAATCCACATTGCTAATCCTTTAGAGAAACACATGAAAAAAAAAAAAAACTACAGGTAAATGTAAATTGTTGACCTGAATTATTGAAGCTGATCTCATATCAAACGGACTCTGAAGTCTGAATTTGTTTGTGTGCAAGAGAGATGAGAAAATTTGCCACAGGCTTTTGATGAATGTGGTATCTTGTTGACAATCTAATGTCACTTGCTCGGAAAGGGATTTGCCCCTGGGCAGAGAGCCAGAACAAGGCCAACACATATCCCACTGCAAGTCCTTGTTTAGAGCGTGAGCAGGATTAAAGCAATTTATTGTTCCTGTACTGACTTCTGCACAAAGTCTCAACATGTTTGCACATGCAGACACAGTGAAAGCAGCAGGACTGGACCACCAAATGGAAAGGCTAATGCACATTCTTTTCAATTTTAACAGTCGGTTAAGACTACATGAATAATATTCCTCTTTTAAGATAAGCCTTTGATCTTCTTTCTTACACTGTTTCTCCAATTAGGTCCTCTTTACACCTTTGTGTGGATGAAGCTTTGGCTCCAGAATTGAGTATCTGCCATGCTGATACAAAGCAGATGGCCTGGTTTGCTTTTCAGGCAGTACAAATCAGACGTTTTGATGGCAGAGCTTGTGCTCTTTATACACATATTGTATGTTTAGCTTTTGCTTAGGTTTTGGCTTTTGGCTTCATTGCTGGGGTTTTTTTGTTTGTAAATACAAAGTCTAAATGGGGATGCTGGGAGATTCCTTATACACTCCATCATCTCTGGTGTTCAAACAGGTTCTCTTCCTTTTCTTATACTTCACTATAAGCACTTAATTACCCAGCCTAAACAAATAGAAAATACTCTTGACATATTTAAAAATCAACAATTTAGGCATCTTCCTTCCAGATATAACTTAGTTGTGGTTTTAATTGCATATATCCTAACACAATATCTGTAAGTATGTAATTTTTGTACAAAAGAGCCCTCAACATGCTCCCACTCCCACATGAACCATAACCATGAATAACACTACTGGCATTACACAGTGGTTTGAATTGCTTTGAATTATTCAAAGAAACAGTTCCTCCTCGACCCTGTGTCCCTGTGTATGAAGTCATTGGTGGAAATATTGCAGTAGAAACACAAGAGTCAGCTGAACACATGCAAGTCCTCTAAATTCCCAACAGAAGATGTCCTAGATGTTTTATCTGTGAACACGTTACTGAGAAGGAAGAAGATAATATACTGGGAATTTAAGAAGAAACTCTCACAACACTGTGCATTTCTTACATTGAAACTCTCATAATACTGTGCATTTCTTTTATTTTACTGTGCTGTAATTATGTCAAATTCTAATATCTATTAAACATATCATAGGTTGTCTAGGCTGCTGCAATTTATTATCAGATACAAAAATATGTAATTAACAGATTCTCTTGTTAACTGCTCACACAGAGTTATAGTAATAACTTTGCTTGAGACAGAGGTGTAGGAATACAGGATTGAGTAGGTTTGTGTCTGTCTTGTCCTGTTTTATCCTTAAGCATGGGTCATCTCTTTCCAAGCCTACACCTAGAAAGGAAAGCTGCTCATAGACTACCTAGGCTTCATACTGTGACTATCACCAAAATACTGCAAAGTGCTGACAAGCCAATAAAAGGTGATGAGAAATTTGTATTTTTGATGGTAAAATAGCTTTTTGCATAATCTTCATCCCAGTGTTATTCTGCTTTGTGTGAGAAAGAACCAAGAGACAAGTCTGCAAATAACAGAAGAGAACTAATTGTACTGAGACATGGGCATGGTCCAGAAGGGACTTTGGCTCACTCTGCAGGGAAAGAATGAAGCATGTTTACTGCCATCTCTTCCCCCTGTGGCTTCAGAGTCTCCCTTATCTTTCTGTATGTCTCCAGGATCTAAAGACAACTTGAAAAATAGCTCAGCAATTTGTTCCTCACACAGCAAGTACCTCTATAAATGTCAATAAACCAGGCTTTCTGGAGACATAGTGCAGTTGTCTTATCAAAACACTTCACATATAATAAAAGTGTTCAGTATATTTTAAAAAGTATCTTTCCTTGCAGAAGAAACAGTTCCCAAATGTGTTTTATCACAGTACCTTGGGCATGCAGCATACATCTCTGTAGACACAGATTAATTTCTCATTCAGTGACACTTCATATTACCACTGGCTTCCTTTGATAGTTCTACTTTAAACTGGTAGTTAAGATATCACTAGTTCAAGGGAGTAAAGTGACTACAAAAAAAAAAAAGCTGGAATCTCAGAGGACTCATGCTTCACAGTAGGAAAAATATATCTATGTATGACTACATCCAATCTGGCTCATAGGCTTGAAGTATTACTTTCAGCTTAGATAGTTGAAACAGCACAAAGATTTCAGTGCCAGGGCACTTCTGCTGTAGAATTACAGTATCATAGATGGAATTAAGACAAGCTGAGGGCTTGGGATAACCTAGCATTTCAGGACAGAACTGAGATGTCCTGAGTGTGACTGTGAAGGTTTAAGGATGAGAACTGAAAATAGAAGGTCTCCTGTCATCTCCAATTAGGGAATGCAAAGTGAAGAGAGAGACTTTTGGGCTTGTAGTCATTCACCGCAGGTTCTAAGAAAAAAGTGAAGTATTAGCACCAACATGTGGGACTACACACACAAAAACGAAGCAGACCTAAAGCCCCCATCACAGGACTAGCAGTCCATAAAAACCTGAGGACTTGGCAAGTTCTTTTTTGACTTGCTGAATAATGTTTGTGGGCCAGTTTGGTTAGTCAGTCAGTTATGGTTAGGATAAGGATTATTCGACTTGGTGGAGGAAAGGCTGTGGGATATGTGGTAAACTAAATAAGGTCATTCTTTTGGTCATGAATGACAGAGACCTGGACTTACTTTGCCTAAATGTACTCCTTTAGATGTTAGATATTTAGAGTAAACTCATTATGCTGGTTCCAGTTTCAGGCCATAGACACAGAAATGCAGATCCAAAGGGAATTCTTCTCACACATCTCAGACACCTACTTCAGGATGAGATGAAGCACTCTCTGCAGCAAACTACTTCTTTCAGCTACAGAGAGAGCTTGAAAAACAACTGCATTCAAGGCATTCAACTTTATGACAAAGCCAGAAGAGGAGAGTCTGTTTCCACCCCCAGAAGAATCAACAGGTTTGTACTGAACAAAAATGACCTCTACATTTAGGCTCTTTAGATCATGGAATGATCCTTACAGATCCTACATTTAGGTTCTTTAGATCAAAAGGGAGCAGACAGAAAAATACTTTGAATTTCCTCCTGTGCAGACATTCTGTCGAGGGACGACTCATTTAATGAGGCATCACTTGAGCGTCAGGCACAAGCAAATTACCAAACCCCATTACAGCGTTCCAGGAAACAGCGGTTCGCCCCGGCACGGAAGGAAGGCGGCGATTGATTCGAGCAGCGTGCATGATGACTATCCACGTGTCGCAGGCGAAAGCCAGCTACAAAACCGCTTGTACGCATCGGGAGATTCCTTTGCCATGTCACCTGAGCCAGAATTGCACATATGATCAGCCGTCATTGAAGGACGATGTCCAGGAGGCAGCTGGGCGCGTATGGGCTGATAGTACCGGAGGACACAAACCGCAACCCTCTAATGACAACACATACGAGGGTGTAGCGAGAAAGCAGTGAGATCACTGGGCATATCGTGTGGGAATTGTTATGTTCATAACAGGAATACTGTGTGGAAAACCCGAGTAAGCATCGCACCCTTCCGGCAGAGGCGGCACGGGAAGCCTCGGGCAGGGTTTCGGGCAGGGTTTCGGGCAGGGTTTCGAGCAGGGTTTCGGGCCGGGCGCTGGCGGGGAGCGACCGAGCCCCGGGGCGGCGGCGCCGCTTCCTGGCTCCGGCTCTCGGCGGCGGAAGCGGCCCCGGCCGCCTCCCTCCGCCATCCCCGCCTCCCTCCGCCATCCCCGCCTCCCTCCGTCTCCCCCGCCCGCGCCGGGCCCGCGCCGCCGGGTCCCGCCTATGAAGCGGCGGCGGCGGCGGCGGTGCGGCCGTGGCTGGGGCCGGGGCGCAGGGCCCTGATGCGGCTGCGGGCGCTCCGCCGCGGGCCCCATGCACCCCAGGTGAGCGCCGCGGGCACCGGGCGAGGCGGGCGGGACCGCGGGGGCACCCGGCCCACGGGGCGAGCAGCGTGGGGGTCCCTCCAGTGCTCGGCGCCTCCCGCAGGCCCAAGGCTCGGCCTCGGGGTGAGGGCGGTGGTTCCCTCCCTCGGGCATCGCCATCCTCAGCAGCCGCCTGGGCCGGGAATGAAGTGCCCTGCCCCGCCGGGCAGCCGGAGCCCTCGGGCCCGTCCCTGCAGAGCCGTCCCTGGCGGCAGGCGGGGCGTGGTGCCGAGGGAGGGCAGAGCCCAGGTGGGAGTCGGAGACTCCGCTTGCGGCTCTGCCCTCCGGGCGGCAGGTGGTCTGCGAGGAGCTGCGAGCTACGGCTTCCTTACGGGCCCCTTCCAGGCTGAGATCTTGTGCTGTTAACTTGTGTGAGTTTGGTGGGTTCGGTCATTTTTCCTGGCTGAGTGGTCCCTTTCCTTACCCAGTGGCAGCCCAAGCTGCGGCTCTCCATCAGTACTGCAGCGCTTGGGCCTGCTGCTGGCCAAGGCCGTGCGGGAGCCTGGGTCAGCCTGGAGGATGTGGCTGCTGTGGGGGCAGCTGCTCTGGCTGGCCCCAAGAGCTGCTGGTCAGACCTGCTGTGTGGCTGGGAGGGCCGGGGTGGGCACAGCGTTGGTCACGCACAGCTTGCAGAGTTGTGACAAGTGTGAGTAGATCGTGTCACCATGGTGTCCCCATCCCTGCGGACTGGTTTGGGCTGCATGTGCAGCTTGAGACCCCAAAGGATGTATGTGCTCCAAGCTGACATGGTTTGTACCAAGGCTGAGGGTTTGGAGTGTTGGGCGGTTCCTGCAGCTGCTCATGTGGTGTGTGCCCACTTGAGTGGTGTGGTTGAGCACTGAAATAACATGGCATCCGTGGTGCAGGTTTTTAATGTGATGGGAGCCCACAGAACAAGACTGAGGCAGTCTATGGCTGTTTTGCAGTGGTAACTCCTGTCACTATTGGCCTGGTTCAAACTGGTGGAGAATTAGAGGTTGTGTGTCTGTTACCAGTTTGAAGTGATCTTTTCCCCACATTGTGGGTTTTGAATGTGGACGTGGTGCCCAGAAGACATGAAATATAAATCAGGTGCTGTTGTCTTGAGTATTTCTGACATTCAGCTTGTAAATGGATCTGTTTTCACAATAGTTTAATCACAGTGTCTTTTATTACTAGGAGTAGGACTTTGTTTTCTGCATGGCAAGGAAAAACCTATGGTCTGATTTGTCTTTTCTGAACTGATTTTAATCCTGATTATTGCTATCTAATATGATCAATAGGTATTGATCATGATGTGATGACTGTGTGAGTGGCTGGTGTGTTTTATGCGTAGCTTTTTAAGGCAGAGTTTTTATATGCCAATATCAGATTTTGAGTTTGTTTGCTCAACCTTTCCTCACCACAGTAGTCAGTAATCAGGAATTTTGCATTCTGTTTTGTTTTCCTGCTCCCCTCTCTGTTCCTTGTCTCCAGAATGAATGAAATGAACTTGAGTCCTGTAGGGATGGACCAGCTGACCTCCTCCTCTGTGAGCAATGCCCTGCCAGTCTCGGGAAGTCACTTGGGCTTGGCAGCATCACCCACTCACAACGCCATACCAGCACCAGGTAATGGGGGAGGGTCCCACAAGGGGTATTGCAGTTCCTGTTTTGTGTTCTGCTGTCACAGCAACGGTCCTAACTGGGCAGCAGTGCCTGCTCTGATAGCAAGTTATACCGTAGGCAGTGAAATGATGCAGAGTTGGGGAAGGGGAAGCCATAAATTGTTGTTTTTGTGAGCAAGCAAAAGGCACGAGTGCTTGTCAGGCTAAAGCTTTAGCGGGAGCCTTGTTTGGTTTTCATGGGGTGATTTGCATTGCGGGTGAGTAGTATCAGAATTCTTTGAAATTAGGGCTGCAGCTGAAAATCTCTCTTCATCTATGTCTCATTTCTCTCAGGTGAAAAATCACTTGTATAGCAAAACTGTTTTCATAGCTCTTCTTTCCAGGGGCCTGCACAGACAGAAGTCCATTATAATTGTCAGATAGAAGCAAGTCCTACAAAATGTACCAAAAAAGATCTAGCCTTATTCAGGCATGTCTCTCACTGCTGTGATAACTGATCCTTTCTTTGATGCCTGGCACCTTACTTGGACAGTGCCATGCTGTATTTCCTTAGGACAGGAGCTCCTGGGAAATTAGTAATCTTTTTCTAAGCTCATGTGTTCATCAACTCGGGGTGTTCTGTTGAATTTAAGCAGGTGTTTTCTCTTGCAGGCTTGCCTGTTGCAATTCCAAACCTGGGCCCCTCCTTGAGTTCCTTGCCCTCTGCTCTGTCTCTGATGCTCCCAATGGGTATTGGGGATCGAGGAGTGATGTGTGGTATACCAGAGAGAAACTACACCCTACCTCCACCACCATACCCTCACCTGGAGAGCAGCTATTTCAGACACATTCTACCTGGTAAGTGCTCTGGTGCTGATGGATGGGAACAGTAAGAGAAACTGTTTTAAGAGCTGTCTGTTTCTGTCCTGAAGCAGGCATGACTGACAGTGTGACAGAGCTGTTGTTTCCCTGAGTTTGTCTGGAGGCTGTTGTGCCATTTACACACCTTTATTTTCAGATACCTGTTTCTATTTGTGTGTGAAAATAATTGCAGGGCATTTTCTATTTAAACTTAACCTTTGATTGCTCCTCCTGCTTTGATTTTAGGATTAACAGAAAACAAAGCATGCCTGGTTCCTGTCTCCAGCGGCTTGTAGCTTGCAAGTTGCTTCTATTTTTTTCTCCTGTAGTCTGAAGCAATATTTAATATGTGCATAATGGGAGATTACAGTAGTTCAGAGCTCAAAGAGGGCAAGACATCAGCTGTGGCATAGGGCACTTTCCCACCCATTTAACCCATGGCACATATTTTCTTCATTTTTCTTCAAGGTTGATTTCCAAAGGCCTAACACACTGACTTCTATCTTGATTCCTTTCTCACACATGCTTTGGAGTATAAATGTAGAATTTTACATTTTAGTATATGAAAACACAGAAATTGAAACTTTAAATGCAGTTCTGGTTTTGTTTGGTAGCTAAGATTGACAGGGTGGAAGAAGTAGTTAAACTTCTTCAAGGTGATTCACTGAGTGTTGTTGGTTCAGCCTGGGTTTGGAATGAGCTGTAGCAGCCCAGATCTCGAGTAGCTACCTGTTGACTGATGGCTGAAATTTCCAGCTGCTTAGGAGTAACCTTTCCTACTGCACTGCATGCTTGCCTGTTCAGTGGCCAAAGAGTAGACAACGAGACTGTGCACTAGGAACAAAGGTATTTGCCATTCTTCTGAGCTGGAATAATCTTCATGTGATGTTTTATTTGGTTCTGTCAGTCGTCTTGCTGCCATCAAGGATCCTCTGTGTTCAAGCCACAAGGCAGCATTGCATACAGAAATATTTGATGCAGCTGATTAAATTAAACTGTTCATTTCCTGGCTTGCAGAAAGAGCATTTGTGCTTGCATCCTTGTAATAAAAAATATATTTGAATGGAAAACTTACAGAACAAGTGGCTCATAGGGTTGAAGGCTAAAAAGACGTGCTGAATCAGATCTTGCAGAATCTGCAAAATCTGCCCCTGTCTTTGCTGGAAATAAGGTTTACTTGAATGTGCTGTTGTATTTCTTCCAAAGATTTTTGTTGTTTGTTCTTAGTGCATAAATGCAGTTTAGTGCTTCTTCATATCTTAAATTTCAAGGTTGTTTGATGTTGAGAAGCTTCCCAGAACTACCAGAAAAGATGGTAGGGTTTCTGATTTAAATTCAACCAAACTATTGTTTTAGGAGAAACAACGTGCTTTCATGTAAGGAAAGAGAGCAGATGACTCATGAAATCTGTGAGAGAGCTTGTCTTTGTCCTTCAGAATTTCAATTGATGACCTCTGAGATGGACAGTTATGCCACTTAGTCTTAGAGGAAGGAAGTAGTCATTGTTAAAACTTGAATACCTAAGCAAAAATCATGTCCTGGAGACTTGTTTCTGCTTCTAGCAAAGATGAACCAGGAATTACCAAATTATAGATTCCACTAGCAGTACTTTATTCTTTGTGAGCTATTTTCTGGGAATGAAAAATTAAGCCTAAAATGTGAAGAACCTCTTTCTCATTTGATCTTTTTACTGAGCAGCCTAGGTGGAATTCTGCCATTAACTTGGCTGTTTAGAGTTCGAGAAATAACTAGAAACTTAGTTTGTTAGGTGGAAACTCTGAATTAGTTGTTAAGTGGTACTTTGACGAGAATGTTAGGCTGGCATATGTTTGTGAGCCATGTTTTAGAATTACTGGATTTTAATTGGAAATAATGTGGAGAACATGTCTTCAGGGATCTGGGTCTCAGTGTGCTATGCTTTGACTGATTTTTATGCAAGATCTGAAAACTGAGGTAATCTCTCTCCCTTCTTTTTCTCCCTCTTTTCCTATCAGGTATCTTATCTTACTTGGCTGACAGACCACCACCTCAGTACATCCATCCCAACACTATAAATGTTGACAGCAATCCAGCATTGTCAGTCTCCAACAATCCCTCAGCCCTGGATCCTTACCAGCCCAGTGGGACCGTGGGGCTGGAACCAGGGATTGTGTCCATGGACTCCCGCACAGTGAACACACATGGTCCTCAAAATCTGCATCCTAGTGAGAGCCACGAGGTAGCACTGGATACTACAATCACTA